CAGTTAAGAGTTAAAAATAAAGTTTTCTGTAGTCCCACTGCATGGGAACGGTTTAAAAACCAGGTTCCGTGTTTTGTGCTAATCCTCATTCTACCTGTTTACATTCTGTTTTACTTTACAGTGAGCTGCAATGGTGTATTCTTACTGGTTTTCCTAAATTATACACATAAACTGTTAAAAAAGTACATCTAAATGGTGGTAGTTAGTAGTTACTGTTTGCATCATGATGACATGTATAAATAAAAATGTTTATACTAAGTGCAAGTAGAGATAGATGCTACTCTAACAAAAAGTAAATAGAAGTAACATGTTATATATAAAATATTTGAGCAATGGTGAACAATTGGAGCATAGACTTGACATTAGCGAAAACAGGCTTTGCCAAGAAGGTTGGCTATTTGCACTCATATCTGGTCCAAAGGCTGGTAAAAACGTGCTTGGCATTGCACAATAGCAGCTTTTATTAACACTACATGTAAAAAGGCATTACTGCATTGAATAATTTTTCCCTCAAAATGTGCCATTTAAAAATATATAAGGAACATTAAAAACATGTAACATTATAAAAGCTCCATTTGGAATATTTCAGTTCAAAACTTCATGCATTTTATATTACAATGCTGTATATGCACTGAACATATGACCAGCATCAGGCCCAGTAGAGACATTTTTCCTGGTATTTCCTGACAACAGCCCATAGTTTTTGAAGCAGGGATCCAATTAAAACCTAGAAAATAGTTTAATTATTTCCCTATATAAGAACCATTTTAAAAAATCACCTGAAAGCTATAACTAAACCACACTATCCAGAATCCAAGGGTATGAATTCATACAATTTACCATGTTTTGCTGAAATATGCCAAAATATAAAAGGGCATGACTGAATGACTGAAATTATGAGCACAATACAGGAAGTTTGTCATGAAAGTATATCCAGAACTTTTGAAAGCATAATACCGGTAATGTCATACTGTATAGTTGGTTCCATGTTAGAGACTTTGAAGGAACAGTTCACCCAAAAATGTATTTCTGTCATTATTTACTTCTTGTTTCAAACCAGTATTATCACAGAAGTAGTCCATATGGCTTGTGTGCTGTATAGCCTTTTGTAGCCATACGAGACGACAAATGTGATTTGTGCTTCCACATATGATATGCGAGAACCAATGATCTTTGGCTTCACTGATGTCAAATCTGGTGTGACGTCTTCACACTCTGAACGAGAATTAAGAAATGCAGTTCAGGCGGAGATTATCAGTGAATAATAACTTATATTTGGATGCATTTCTTTGGAAAAATCAGCACACAAGTTGACTACTTTTATGATGCTTTTCAGTCGTTTTGGGGCTTCACAGCAGGTGGTCACTGTACAGAAGAGAACGGTGAACATTTTGCTGTTCCACGGAAAGTCGTACATGTATGGATGACTAAAAGATGCCTCTCTTCATTTTTGGTAGAACTAGTCCTTTAACAGCTTTCAGCAGCAAAGACAAAAGGCGAAAAAAACCACAAGCATTAGCTTCTCCTCAGGACTAAGTCACACAGCACAGTGTCATTTAAAAAGGCACAATTGCCACTTCAACCAATTATCAATGATCAAAATATGTACAAAAATATAAATTCAATAGCATGATCTCTCTCACCAAGCACGACTCAACATTGCACAGTAGAATTTCTTGTGTTCACTTCAAGTGTTCAACAAAAATCCCTCACCTTCCAATCACATTATACTTGACAAATGGAAGGAATGACTGCAGTTTTGTGAGCACACCACTGACAACCCAAGCCATCTTCTTCAGCATCCTCCAAATCATCTTCTCCAGGAATCTGTAAGTTGCTCAAACAAGAGCTGTTGTCTAAAATGAGCATGTAAGGCACTAAAGATGAGATGGCAGCCTCTGCGGTGACACAGCCTGGACACTGCAGGCCCAGACTGCATTCACACAGAGATATGGCTCATCCCTGGAATGTCTCCGAAAAGGGTCCATCCGTCAAGGGTCCATCCACTGGGCACTAAGGAGCTCCAGTCTCCTGTGTGGACAGTGTGGGCGGCACTGGGACTGTCTGTATGTGCTCTGTGGTGAGCTCGGGTAAGACTGCCATTTCAGACAGTGTGTCTGACAGTTCATGTGGAGCTGCTGATGTCTGACTGGACGACGACAGGCCTGAGGGCACTGATGCACTGCTATGCTGTGTGGGGGGAGTCTGTGGCACACACTGTGCTACTGTGTGGTGTGTGAGCAGTTCAGAAGCATGGTAGTAAGGCAGGAAAGGTCGCTCCACGACACAGAAACGCATGGCCAAATGTGTGTGCTGCAGAAGAAGAGGGAAACGGGAGGTAAAGTAGGAGACAAATTCATCTGGAATGGATCCTAGTGTTTCCTGGACTTCTTCGGGTAACTCTCGGTAATGGTGTTTCTACAGGAAACAAAGACGAGATAAATATGAGACAATTTGTGATTAAGAGAAACAGGAGTTTTTAATCATGTGATATGTTATATTTTCAACATGGACTAACACTGTTATTTTAGTACAATGACAAATAGGTGTAACTAACCAAACAACTACATTTAATTTAATAAAAAAGGAACTTTGTGTTCCTTCTACTCTGTTATGCTACTTTTCCATTAATATCATGCATATTATTATCTGCTGTAACTACTAGATATTTGTGGTGAGTATCAATAAACTGATTTTCTTCAGCAAATGTACCTTGTTTCTCATGGCACGTAAAAGATCTCTGACCGATCCGCCTTTGTATGAACGAAATTTGCGAAGATCTGAAGAAGAACGATTTGCGTTTGAATGGTTTGTGGAGCAAAAGTTTCACATTAAAGATTCAAATAAGAAACAAAACTAGATAATCATGACAGACCTGCATGTGGTTTAACGATTTACAAAATCTTCGAATTAAAAACTGATCGAAAATCCAGTCAACAGTAAGCCAAATCGCAGCAGTCCTCACCGGTCTGTAGAGGCACTGTGATATGATCCCTCCAATCACCTCTGACCACCACCCGTCCTCCTCTCTCCAGCTGTCTCACGATTGGTC